ATAATTCCAACAAAAAAGTCCAAGGGGTCATGGGCTCCTGCTCGTATGCCTATAAAGTTGTGCTGTCAGTTTCTGAAATGCATTTTGAAATAGAATTCGTTCATGAAAATGCTGATATAAAATAAATTTGTGTCTAGGTTTTAGTCAAATAAAGATAGAATTAAACCAATTAATAAATGGTTAAAATGTTCTTCAATATGAAAACCATACCCGGTTGTCTCTTCTTCTAATTCATGATTTTTCTTTCTTATTTGATCCGCATTATACTCCAGTGATGATATTAACTCAAAAAATTTCCCGAATTCTTCATGTTTTCCTTCAGGCTTGAAAAAAAGTGTTTAAAATTATTTTTATAAAATCTAGAGACCTTCTTCTATCTTAAAAATATTATTTCTCATAAGTTGATGAGTAATATGTATTTAGGCAGGTGTATAAAATGCATTTTATAAACCTGATGCCAAGAAGGACAGATTTCAAAACTAGCCATTTTCTTAAAACAGCTAAAAATGATTCACACTTCCATCATTATCTTTTCTGAAGTTTAAATTACCAAAAATGTTTGTTAAAAATGAGAGTTTTTGCACATGAAATACTAAGGGTTAGTGAAATAAATTAAGAGTACTTATATTTACATTTTAGTTTTTAAAGATGCTCTAGAAACATTGTCATTAATAGTTTAAGATATTCCAAGTTAAATTACATCTTATTAAGATGATTTTTAGAAAACTCTTATCTAGTTCCCATTACATTTTTGATCCTCATCTATCTTCAGGCTGAGCTAAGTACTGTCATTCTCTGTACGTATTCACCTGTAGGTTTTAGGTGTCTTTTAACCATTTCTCTTCAAACGAAGTTTATTTTTTCTATAATAAACAAATAATAACTTTTGTCTACTTTTTGTGGCTTTTCTATTATCCTGTTTCTCCCCTTCCATTGGACTCTATGACACATGGTCTCATCCAGAGATCTATTTTTCATCACTTTTTGTACTGAAACTTGAGATAAACCAGTGTACGGCTCTTTAGAGCAAAACCTAGATAACAGACATCTGGGTTGCTTGGCAAAGGTCATGTGTAATTCTGAGTTATGAACCTGTCACAATTTAATTAATTGTTCTGCCTCTGTATCCTTGCTTTTGTACCACTGTAACTGTAAGCCTGCTTCAAGCTAGCCCACCCCCTTTTTGAAGTGTGTATAAAAGTCAAGTGCTGTCTTTGTTCTGGGCCCAGTTTGTCAGATGTTGAGTCTGCTGGGTCTGAGTGCACTCAATAAAGACATCCTCCTGTACACACCCCAAGGTCTCTCTCTGGTCCTCCTGATTCCTTAACAGCACAATCTCCACTCACCACAACCTCCACCTCCCGGGTTCAAGCGATTATCCTTCTCAGCCTCCCGAGCAGTTGGGATTACAGATGCCCACCACCTTGCCCAGCTAATTGTTTGTAGTTTTAGTAGAGATGGGGTTTCATGATGTTGGCCAGGCTGGCCTTGAACTCCTGACCTCATGATCCGCCCACCTCGGCCACCCAAAGTGCTGGGATTACAGGCATGAGCCACCATGCCCAGCTGCTACTCCTCTTTTTACACTCTCTCAGAACTCCTAAAATCTCAAAATGTTAACCCAGATTCCCTAATACACATTTCCAGCTCTGACCTTTTTACTGAGGCCTCTTCCTTCTAGTACACATATTGTAGACAATGTTGCCAACCACACGCTCATATATTGCTACTCGGTGCAGATTAGTTTAGTAGATAGTGAATCTTGTCTATTTTATGTTGATTCTTATTGATGTTACTTTGAGTATAGTGTTATTTTCTAATCTTGAAGGGGAACTGTCTCACCCTTAGGATATTGACCAGTATACTCTTTTCTTCTCTCTTTTTCTTTTCTTTCCTTTCCTTTCTTTCATCTCTCTTTCTTTTCTTCTCCCTTCCTTCCTTCCTTCCTTCCTTCCCTCCCTCCCTCCCTCTTTCTCTCTCTCTCTCTCTCCTTTCTGTCTTTCTTTCTTTTCTTTCTGTTTTTTGGACCACGGTACTTTGTCCTTTTTTTCTTTTTCTTTTTTTCTGAGATGGAGTCACACTCTGTCATCCAGGCTGGGGGCAGTGGTGCCACCTCTGCTCACTGCAACTTCCACCTCCTGGGTTCAAGTGATTCTCCTGCCTCAGCCTCCCAAGTAGCTGGGACTACAGTTGCACACCACCACGCCCAGCTAATTTTTGTATTTTTTAGTAGAGACAGGGTTTCACCATGTTGGCCAGGCTGTTCTTGTACTTCTGACCTCAGGTAACCCACCCACCTCAGCCTCCCAAAGTGTTGGGATTACAGGCGTCAGCCATGCTGCCCAGCCCTTTTTTTCTTTTATAATGAAAACCTTCCCATGAGAATCAGATTATCAATTGTTTGCCTTTGTTTCCCTCTAAAGAATTTCCTTTTCCATAGAGATATGGCATGATGAACATCTTGTTCTACAGTTTCTTTCTGGGGACACTCAACTATATCACTGGGAAGCTCCAGTCAAGTAGAGATCTCCCTTCTTCCTAATCGAGATTCTTCATCTCAAAATGGTGTCCACCAAATGTCTTATCCAGGTAGTCTCTTGCTTAGGAACTCATGAAATAAGCACCTTCAGGAGAAGTTAGAGGCTATTGATTGAGATGGTTTAAAGCTGTCCCTTATTATATGTTTTACTCCCAAGGCAGACATCAAGTGGCTAATAATTCTATGCCTGATGTCTAACTCAATTCTGTGGGAATCTATACAAAATATTTTATTTATGAGACAGAGTCTCGCTCTGTTACCCAGGCTGGAGTGCAGTGGCTTGATCACTGCTCACTGCAGCTTTGATATTCCAAGCTCAAGCGACCCTCCCACCACAGCCTCCCAATGTAGCTGGCATTACAGGCATGCACCACCATGCCTCAGTTAACTGTTAAATTTTTTTTTTTTTTGTAGAGACAGGGTCTCACTTATGTTGCTCTGGCTGGTCTCCAATTCCTGGGCTCAAGCACTGTTCTTGCCTCAGCCTCCCAAAGTGCTAGAATTACTGGCATGAGCCACCTCACCAACCAGGTGTTCCATGGAATGGTTTGAGAGGCAGTTCTACACAGAAGCCAGAAGGCCTGGGTCTGAATCCCAGCTCTACCAGATACTAGCTGTGTGACCTTGAGCAAATTAATTTTCTGTGTCTCTGGTTCTTTATCTATGAAATGGAGAGAATAATACACCTACTTCACTGGGATGTTGGGAAGATTAAACCAGGGACTGACATGAAGCACTTAGAAGGGTACATGGTGCATGGTGAGCTACAGATAAGATTTGCTTAGAAGCACTTAGAAGAGTCCATGTACATAGTGAACTACAGATAAGATTTGCTATTAGCATGGTAATTTTTACTTTTTTATATCTTGACAATTGTACACGTTAGGCAGGTGGCATTCCAATGGGAGTAGTCTCCTAGAGCTGCACTGAATCATTCTTCACACCACTGAAAGCGGCAGCAAATGGGGAGCGCATAATTTATAGCTTACTTTTCTCTCCATATGACTCAGTGGGCAACAGTCATGTACGTAGTACAATGTAAACAGCACCTCCTGGATTGAGTAGTACATAACCGACATGACCAGCAGAGACAGGCTGAGCCACGGAGCTGAAAACCCTGGACTCTATTGCTAAATCAAGGCTTCTGAATCAATTCCCTCCCAGAAGTTGTTGCTGTGGCACTGCTTTCACGAGTACTCTGCTGAGCGCTCGGATTAAGGGGCTGTGCTATCATTCATCAGACAAGCTGCACCCAGAACTGTTCAGCTGACAAACTGGCAACCATCCAGAAATACAGTTTTGGCTAAATAGTGAAGGAAGGCAAATTTAGATTCTTTTTTCATACTGAGAAAAACATGAGCATTTGATTGAACAATTCTCCTCTATTAGACTAATTGGTTTTAATTTCATATTTAATTGCTAAAAATACACTTAGAATAAAAGACTTACTGTGTTAATGTCTCAAAGAAGAAATCATTGGTATGGTATATTTTGTTCTATGCTAAAAGTTGCCAAGCTAAAGTATTTTCAATTTATACAAGGATAGGTGACACGCATGTCAGATATTATTTTCCCTTTAAGCAAATTTATGACGAGACAAAATTATCTTCCATCAAAAATAAAAGCCATGTCAAATTAAGGGCTAAGTTATTCTGCAGACTGGGCAACGGGTGCTGAGATATAAGGTCAGTGAGAGTCAGAACAGCCAGAGAAAGATTCCTGAAGAAGAAATTGCCTGCCAGGTCTGAATGAATGAGGCCAGATGAGCAGGAACTGAGAAGGCAGGAAGGACAGCATGGGTAAAACTGGGGCTGACATCTGCCCAATTAACGCTAGGATAAAGTCCAATGGCAGAGAAATAAAAACATACATCCATACAATAACCTGTAAGTGAATGTTCACAACAGCTGTTTTCATAATAGCCAAAAAGTGGAAACAACCTAAAGGTCCATCAGCTGACGAATGAATGGAAAACTGGTGTAGCCATGAAATAGACTATTATGAGACAATAAGAAGGAAGAAACTACTGATACGTGCTACAACATGGATAAAATTCTGAAAACATTCTGCTAAGTGAAA